ACGAGGAGGACTGATGACTGAGGACGAAAGCGAGGACGAGGAGGAGGACAACTGATAAGAAGGAGAAGGAGGAGGAGGACTGGGGAAGGACTGATGAGTAGGAGGTCTAAAGACGAGGAGGACTGAGGACGAGGAGGACTGAGAAGGAAGACGAGGACGACGAGGACGACTATGAGGAGGACTGAGGACGAGGACTGAGGAGGGGGAGGAGAACTGGGGGATGACTGAGGAGGAGAAGGACTGAGGACGACTGAGGAGGAAGAGGATAAGTAAAAGGATGAGAACTAAGGACAAGGAGAACTGAGGACTGAGGACGAGAGCAAGGACGAGGAGGAGGCCGACTGATAAGAAGGAGAAGGAGGAGGAGAAGGAGGAGGAGGACTGGGGAAGGACTGATGAGGAGGAGGTCTGGTGGAGGACTGAGGAGGAGGAGGATGACTGAGGAGTAGGAAGAGGAGGAGGAGGAGGAGGACTGAGGAGGAGAAGGAGGAGACTGAGGAGGAGGATGAGGAGGAGGACTCAGGAGGAGGACTGAGGAGGAGGACTGAGGAGGAGGACTGAGGAGGAGGACTGGGGAAGGAGGAGGAGGACTGGGGGAGGACTGATGAGGAGGACTGGGGGAGGACTGATGAGGAGGACTGGGGGAGGACTGATGAGGATGAGAACTGGGGGAGGACGGAAAAGGAAGAAGATGACTGTGGAGGAGAATGAGGAGGAGGACTCAGGAGGAGGACTGAGGAGGAGGAAGAGGACTAAGGACGAGAACGAGGACGACTATGAAGAGGACTGAGGAGAAATACTGATGAGGAGGAGAAGGAAGAGGAGAAGGAGGAGGAGGATGAGGACTCAGGAGGAAGAAGACTTAGGAGGAAGAAGACTTAGGAGGAGGATAAGGAGGAGGAGGAGGAGGACTGGGGAAGGACTGATGAGGAGGAGGTCTGGGGGAGGACTGAGGAGGAGGAGGATAAGTAAAAGGATGAGAACTAAGGACAAGGAGAACTGAGGACTGAGGACGAGAGCAAGGACGAGGAGGAGGCCGACTGATAAGAAGGAGAAGGAGGAGGAGAAGGAGGAGGAGGACTGGGGAAGGACTGATGAGGAGGAGGTCTGGGGGAGGACTGAGGAGGAGGAGGATGACTGAGGAGTAGGAAGAGGAGGAGGACTGAGGAGGAGGAGGACTGAGGAGGAGAAGGAGGAGACTGAGGAGGAGGATGAGGAGGAGGACTGGGGAAGGAGGAGGAGGACTGGGGGAGGACTGATGAGGAGGACTGGGGGAGGACTGATGAGGAGGACTGGGGGTCCGGGGGAGGACTGATGAGGATGAGGACTGGGGGAGGACGGAAAAGGAAGAAGATGACTGTGGAGGAGAATGAGGAGGAGGACTCAGGAGGAGGACTGAGGAGGAGGAGGAGGACTAAGGACGAGAACGAGGACGACTATGAAGAGGACTGAGGAGGAAGACTGATGAGGAGGAGAAGGAAGAGGAGAAGGAGGAGGAGGATGAGGACTCAGGAGGAAGAAGACTTAGGAGGAAGAAGACTTAGGAGGAGGATAAGGAGGAGGAGGAGGAGGACTGGGGAAGGACTGATGAGTAGGAGGTCTAAAGACGAGGAGGACTGAGAAGGAAGACGAGGACGAGGAGGACGACTATGAGGAGAACTGAGGAGAACTGAGGACGAGGACTGAGGAGGGGGAGGAGAACTGGGGGGATGACTGAGGAGGAGAAGGACTGAGGAGGACTGAGGACGAGAGCGAGGACGAGGAGGAGGCCGACTGATAAAAAGGAGAAGGAGGAGGATGAGGAGGATGAGGAGGACTGGGGAAGGACTGATGAGGAGGAGGTCCGGGGGAGGACTGAGGAGGAGGAGGAGGACTGAGGAGGAGGAGGATGACTGAGGAGTAGGAGGAGGACTGGGGGAGGACTGAGGAGGAGGAGGAGGACTGAGGAAGGAGGAGGAGGACTGAGGAGGAGGAGGAGGACTGAGGAGGAGGAGAACTGGGGGAGGACTGAGGAGGAGGAAGAGGACTGTGGAGGAGGATGAGAAGGAGGACTCAGACGGAGGACTCAGGAGAAGGACTCAGGGGGAGGAGGAGGAGGAGGAGGACTAAGGACGAGAACGAGGACGACTATAAAGAGGACTGAGGAGGAGGACTGATGAGGAGGAGAAGGAAGAGGAGAAGGAGGAGGAGGATGAGGACTGGGGAGGAGGAGGATGAGGAGGAGGAGGAGGAATACTTAAGAGGAGGAGAAAGAGGACTGATGAGAAGGAGGAGGAGGACTGAGGAGGAGGAGGAGAACTCAGAGGACTCAGGAGGAAGAAGACTTAGGAGGAGAAGAAGGAGGAGGAGGAATACTCAGGAGGAAGAAGACTTAGGATGAGGAGGAGGACTGAGGAGGAGGACTCAAGCCAATAATAAGCATGTGTCACGATACAAATGTACTTGACTATAGGGGGGGGTGTCATGTCCGTCTATGTCCGCCTATGTCCTGTCCTTTTTGGATTCTATGAGACAACGGACGTGTTTTTTGGGACATTGGCGGACACGGACGGACATTGGCGGACTCGGACGGACATTGGCGGACTCGGACGGACATTGGCGGACTCGGACGGACATTGGCGGACTCGGACGGACATTGGCGGACTCGGACGGACATTGGCGGACCCGGACGGACATTGGCGGACTTGGATGGACATTAGTGGACATTAGCGGACATTGGTGGACATTAGCGGACAAACATTTTGAGGACTGAAGAGTACTGAAGAGTACTGAAGAGTACTGAAGAGTACTGAGGAGGATGGCTGAGAAGGATGGCTATGGAGGATGGCTGAGGAGGATGACTGAGGAGGATGACTGAGGAGGATGACTGAGAGGGAGGAGAAGGATCAGGAAGACCCAGGAGGATCAGGAGGAGGAGGAGGAGGACCCAGAAGGAGGACCTAGGAGGAGGAGGAGGAGAACTGAGAAGGATGACTGAGGAGGAGGAGGACTCAAGAGGAGGACTGAGGAGGACTGAGAAGGAAGAGGACTGAGGAGGATGGCTGAGGAGGATGACTGAGAGGGAGGAGGAGGAGGAAGAGGAGGAAGAGGACTGAGGAGGAGGAGGAGAAGGACTGAGGAGGAGAAGGAAGACCCAGGAGGAGGAGGACCCAGGAGGAGGAGGACCCAGGAGGAGGACCCAGGAGGAGGACCCAGGAAAAGGCCCCAGGAGGAGGAGGAGGACCCAGGAGGACTGAGGAGGAGGACTGACGATGACTGAGAAGGAGGAGGACTGAGGAGTATTGAGGAGGATGGCTGAGGAGGATGGCTGGGGAGGATGGCTGAGGAGGATGACTGAGGAGGATGACTGAGAGGGAGGAGGGGGAGGTCTCAGGAGGAGGACTCAGAAGGAAGAGGATCAGGAGGAGGACTCAGGAGGAGGACTCAGGAGGAGGACTCAGGAGAAGGACTTAGGAGAAATGAGAAGGAGGACTGAGGAGAACTGAGGAGGAGGAGGACTGAATAGGAGGAGGAGAAGGAGGGGGACTGGGAGAGGACTGGGGAGGAGGAGGACTGATGAGAAGGATGAGGAGGAGGACCCAGGAGGAGGAGGACTGAGGACCGAGGAGGAAGAGAAGGAGGATGAAGAGGAGGAGGAGGACCCAGGAGGAGGAGGACTGAGGAGGAGGACTGAGGAGGACTGAGGAGGACTGAGGAGGATGGCTGAGGAGGATGACTGAGAGGGAAGAGGAGGAGGAGGAGGAGGAGGACTGAGGAGGACTGAGAAGGAGGAGGAGGAGGAGGAGGAGGACTGAATAGGAGGAGGAGGAGGGGGACTGAGGAGGACTGAGGACTGAGGAGGAAGAGGAGGAGGATGAAGAGGAGGAGGAGGACCCAGGAGGAGGACCCAGGAGGAGGACTCAGGAGGAGGAGGAGGACTGGGGAGGAGGAGGACTGTTGAGGACTGATGAGGAGGACTGAGGACGAGGAGGAGGAGTAGGAGGACTGAGAAGGGGAGGAGGAAGAGGACTGAGGAAGATCAGGAAGACCCAGGGGGAGGAGGAGGAAGAGTAGGAGGAGGAAGCATCTAAATGTTATTTCCATTTTTGTCCGTTTTTGTCCATTTTTGTCCGTTTTTGTCCGCTCTATTTTTTGGCCGTTTTGAAAATATAGGGTACCGAACGGACAAAAAACATGATCCCCCCTATAACAGAAAAATTGAACATTTTATTTAGCAATTTAGGTGTCCATTAATGTCCGCCTATGTCCGCCTATGTCCGTCTATGTCCGCCTATGTCCGCCTATGTCCGCCTATGTCCTGTCCTTTTTGGATTCTATGAGACAAGCGGACATAGACGGACGTGACACCCCCCCCACTATACATTTAAGGTGCTGTGTACTATAGTGATATTATGGTATGTTTAAAGACCGGACCACAAAATATAACCCGGTACCTAGTGTTGTACTAATACATAATAAGTAATAACAAGTAACAGGGATAAAATCAATGAGCAGAAACAATCGATTTCACAAGAGACGAAAGCACTCGGGTCTGGGAGTACATGATAACTCTAACTAGTAGTGAGCATACTAGCCCCTGCAGTGGAAAAACACATAAAACATACTAATGGAATGTATATGTCCAATTGAATGGACCAATTTCCAATAAAACATAAAATGGATCACAATATATCCCAAATTTTAATAAAAAAACGATAAAAAGGGAGCGAATTTCATAATTTTGTGTGGGTTCATCGTTTTTGTTGTTGCACCCCCAGGTTTTATGTATGATACATGATGGTTTACATATTATTTTAATGTTTCTTCACTGCTAAGTTGAGCTTAGATCTGATTAATTACGAAGATGTGTGATCTTCTATTTATCAAAATGACGATTTGTAAAAAATACGAAAAAATACGAAAAAATACGAATACGAATTTGAAATTTTAGGGGTGCGTTCGTATTTTTTGTAGTTGGACCCCCCCTTAATTATAAAATTGAAGATAAAACAAATAGTAACCTCTTGCTCATCCATTTCATGAAGAAGTTCTTGCCGGACTGATGTAGTGCCAAATAACCCGTCTGATAGTCACCCTCTGGTTTTTGTACCGTAACGTTGTTTTTACCAAAGAGAAGAGCGCTACTTGAGCTCTGATAGAGAGACTGAACAAGATTGCGAGCGTGACAGGAAGAAGGGTCGTTGTCGGTGACATAGTGCAGAGCGCTTGGAGTACACACTGTCAGAGAGGAGTTGGGGTGTTTTTGATGCCGACGCTGGTCTCCCTTCGCAGCTCGCCTCTCAATCAGCTCCTCAGCAGGAGGGTCACTCCAAAAGTGATCTGGTGTTTTGGTCTTGGTGTAATCTAGCGCCGATAACCCGCTCAACAAGTCCACAAAAAGATGTCCAGTAACATAGTTTCTTATCAAGGACTCCTCCTGGTACAGCTTCAAGCAGTGAACCATGAGAGATTTCACCAGGTCCACAATAGATCTCTCGATCAGTGATATTCTGATCCAGTTGTAACGCGGGGTGTGTCCCACCAGACTCTTGCTCTTGAATCGAGCGCTAAGGTTATCCGAACTGTTCGCTTTTCGGTAGCTGAAGTTAGAGCTGGCATGTTTCAGGGTTTTCTCGGCAATTTCATCGTGTTTGGCTAGACATGTCAGTACATTCATGGAAATCGGGAGACTGGACAGAGAGACAGTCGGTTTTTTGTACCTGAAAGGTGCGAATCAAAACTTTACTCAAATTATCTCCATGAATTATACCATATAAGGGAATAGGGGCGAGAGGGGTACTAAATATCACACTATGTCAGAGACATCAATCTAAGAATATTCAAAACTTTCTTTAAAGAAGAAGCATTACTTACCCGTGAATGAGGCACTGCTCCAGGACAATACAGAGGGAAGCTATCGTGGAGCTGTCCTCGTGGATTATCTTCTTTGTTACGCTCTCCTCCATCAGCAACTTTATCTCCTTCTTCAGACGGCTCAGCAGCCGCTCTCGCTCAGCCTCCATCTGGAGGGAACATTTACTTGGTCAGAGTGACCCTTCTGTGCGAATTTTATTCAAAAATATGGTAAAAGCAGGAAAACGTGACAATAGAATGTTAGAGGCACAGCTATTGCAACAAGCAGATAATGGATGAATAACATTTTATTGTATCACAATTAATCGGATAAAGCCTTCCAGTTGATTCGTTAAATGTTCATATTATGACGCGTCATGACGCAAGTCGCCACCGTTATTTTATGATGGGAATGCACAAAGATTATCGATCAATGCAAGTGACACTAATGGATAGAGCCGCATTATAAAATTGTGTATTTCATCACGAAGTAATCATTGCGCAATATAGTAATTAGGAACCTCTTGCATAAGAAGGAATAGCACAACCATGTGTTTCTACAGAAGATAATCTTATCACAAGAGAACGATCACAACAAACTGGCACGCGTGTACGATTTGTACCAATTCATTTATTGAGTAGCTCTCATAAAAATATCTATGACGTCACAATCTAAACACACTACTCAATAACATTACCTGATAGGTGGAAGGTTTAGCTTGTTGAAGTTTCCACGTTCATAGTGCGAGGTGTTGATCAGTAGGCAGCTACATCCTACAAGAGATATTATCATGTTCAAACAAGAGATATTAACATGTTCAAACAAGAGATATTAACATGTTCAAACAAGAGATATTATCATGTTCAAACAAGAGATATTATCATGTTCAAACAAGAGATATTATCATGTTCAAACAGGAGATATTATCATGTTCAAAAAAGAGATATTAACATGTTCAAACAAGAGATATTAACATGTTCAAACAAGATCACACCACAGATCAAATACCAGCAAGGATAAAAGTAGATTCTGCAAGAGATCATAAGTTTATTTTACATGAGATAATCATACACGAAATATAAGTGCACGATTCACATATATCTACCACAAAGATACAATCGAGTAAGGCTGACAACATTTATAGACGATACAGGATCATATATACAAGCTACAAGCACAAGGAGAGGCTATCGGAGTACGAATCAACCAACACTGAGCTCGCAACACAGAGCTAGCAACAGTGTGCTAGTAACGACACAAGAATAGTATGAATAGAGCAATCACCAAATTAAAGTGACTTGTTAAGTTACTAGTCTACATGTGGGATGATTGTGTGCACTTGTTATGATGATCTTAAAGCACTATATTGTATTATATAGTGCAATAACACCGCCGGCGCTTTGGTTGAGAGAAATTTCGACAAACTGTAACTGGAAATAACCCAAAAAAAGTAGGTATCTTCAAATAGGGTGGCAAGAGAAAGTGCAGCCTGGTTTTGGATGATGAGGACACCTGCTACAATAACCAGTGGCCATTTAAAATGTTAGGACAGTCCCTCTCAACCTATCGCCCAATAAACGGGTAGGTGCAAGATTCGGCGAGAGTCACTAAAGCGACCACAATCTAACTGAACCAGTTATTCATTGCGCTGCAATTCAATCTGAGTAATGAGGTGAGCGTGCACACACACACACATTGCAACACCTAGTAGCCCGCCCTGCAGATGAAACGTTCAGCCGAGAACACAAAACCACACAACCTATCTGAACAGATTATCAGAAGCTCAGAGCGCATCGTTCTATTATTGACCGTTTAACTGTAAGCATGCAAGCCGGTCAGAGAGAGAGAGAGAGAGAGAGAGAGAGAGAGAGAGAGAGAGAGAGAGAGAGAGAGAGAGAGAGAGAGAGAGAGAGAGAGAGAGATCGAGAGATCGAGAGATCGAGAGAGAGAGAGAGAGAGAGAGAGAGAGAGAGAGAGAGAGAGAGAGAGAGAGAGAGAGAGAGAGAGAGAGAGAGAGAGAGAGAGAGAGAGAGAGAGAGAGATCGAGATCGAGATCGAGAGAGAGAGAGAGAGAGAGAGAGAGAGAGAGAGAGAGAGACAGAGAGACAGAGAGAGAGAGAGAGAGAGAGAGAGAGAGAGAGAGAGAGAGAGAGAGAGAGAGAGAGAGAGAGAGAGAGAGAGAGAGAGAGAGAGAGAGAGAGAGAGAGAGAGAGAGAGATCGAGAGATCGAGAGAGAGATAGAGAGAGAGAGAGAGAGAGAGAGAGAGAGAGAGAGAGAGAGAGAGAGAGAGAGAGAGAGAGAGAGAGAGAGAGAGAGAGAGAGAGAGAGAGAGAGAGAGAGAGAGAGAGAGAGTCATAGTGGATTATGTCACTCAGATTGAGAGGACTCTCTTACCTCAAATATAGGCCAATAATAGTACAGGACCCGGACAAGGGCGGACAATAGGGGCGGGAAAGGGAGTCATCGGCCGAACAATGTACAAAATGAGGGAGCTGCTACAGCTACAGAGCAGGGAGCAGGTAGAAGAACATGCTCCATGTAAGTGGAGTTGACAAAACGTTTATCCCAAACAAGGAGATGCTCTGATATTGAAGTGCACCGACACGACCACCCACCTCCCTCCCACTCGCTCCGGAGATTGAGTTAGACTGTCCATCTCACAGGGCTGGAGCAGGGGAGTTAAGAAGACCCCCCCCCCCCGGCCCCCTTAACCGGGGCTACCTGTGCTGGAATAATCCCCGTAACGTAGACAAATTGTGCAGGTATAAATGGGTTTGCTGTTTGCTAAGAGCTTTCAACAGAAGAAATGTACGTCAAGTGGGTTGTACGTGTGATAGACGGACAATGGCCAGCAAGTAGACTACTCCCAACAAGAACCACATTAAAATTAACCACTCTCTCTCTCTCTCTCTCTCTCATTGCAAACCTTAGGTCTTGTAATAACTAGACCTAAAACTGTAATTCTGCAAAGTAAGAAAACAAAAACCTGCAACCGATGAAAATAATATTCAACAACTGGCGCACAATCAGAATAAAGAAACCGCCAACCGAAGAAAACAAAATGGACGCAGCAAGCCTAGTTGCCGGTTGGCGGAGACCCAAGGATAACCAGATCACAGCAGCAGGCTCGCACTGATATGCTTACTACTCAAGCTAACTAGCGACGTGCTGCCGCACATTCCTCGAATAGTGTACATGTTCCACTATACAATTGTACTGTATAGGCGGGGCCCTCTCTACATAAAGGAGCTAATAATATCAGTTCTTCTCCTTACAAACTGCACCGAGTAAATGTCGCTGGGGTAGCGGCTATATTATAGTATATATTATAATGAGTATAATATATATAAATAACTATATTATATGTGAGACATGAGTACACAGTATACACCTACATAGCATTTACATAACATGACTCTCTCAATATTGACGTAACACAGAGCAAGAGTACGGAGTTATCAATTAGCAATTAGATCAGTCAAGAGTGTAAAACGTGACCTAGTTAACTAGTCAGGTCGCCGAACAAATAGGCAGCCTGATAGTTAGGCAACACAGTCGTTTTGAGGCGGAGGAAATGTATAGGTAACACAGGGGGTGCATACAACAACTCTACAACTGTGTACAATACAAGTGACGTGCGGGGAGGAGGGAGGACGACCCTCACTTTAACTCACCAACAACGTAATACAATCACATGGAAACACACTAGCTATTAGCATTCCGGCGCCACTATTAGCGTTCCAGCTCCACCCCAATATCCTCCCCAAATCAGGATAATTTGAGGGAATGTGGGCCGCATTATACCACTTACGTCGACACAACTGAGAGTTTACCTCGACAATCACTTAATCTCTTTCTCATTAATCAGGCCTCGCTCGAACTGGTTATACATATAATAAAGCTAAATACTGAACAGGCGGTCAGGCGGTGTGCCAAGTCAGTCGGAACGTAAATCAGCAAGAAACACTGACCTGCTGACAGAAACAATTGAGCAGATCGTGGGAAAATACCCGCCTGGATATCCTGGGCACAAAATAATGACCCGACCAGGGGAGGAGAGGAGACGGTGCTATCTTGAGGTCAGGAGGTTGTTAGCCCGGGGTAATTAGTAATTACATCCGCCAATCATGAGCGAGCAAGGCTCATTATAGTGGGATCAAGTCAGAATCAGGGATAATTTATAATGATAATCCCCCCATGAGCGAAAATATTGAACATTATTATATAAACTATTATTTAAGTTGAATGGTTATATCTAATACATATCTGTGAACATTATCAACAACAATTATCTTTTAAACTGATAAACTCGACTAAAAGGTTCAAAAATGTATTGAAAAATCAAAAACTCCTTAATTATATAAATAACAGCTATCAAAATAAAAGAGGTTAAGAGCTCAATTAATCATCCATTTTCACAGAAAAAGACTTTAAATTAACATACATCAGTATTATACCAGACAAAGGCATTACAAAGACAAATAATTGAAATTCGCATCGATACGAAGAAAATCGCTCGATTGTTATTGGCCACTGTTTCGGGAGGTTAGCGGTCAAGGACAACATTAGAAGCAGACGTTTTGTAAGTAGTCTGAGCAATGAGCATTGTATGTGTATTATTTATTTAAATCTATACTCAATCGGCAACTTAACTCGTTATACTAAAGTAGTAATGAATCACTTCCCCTTAACAATTGCCGCAAGATCCGGATCTACTTACATTTGTTTATGATGTTGCAAATAATCATTATCATGATAGTAATCTTCCGCATTCACAAATCAAATACAAGAAGCTACCTAATAAGTCATATAACAATTACAACTAAATGGCCATGCAATAAAAAGCTGTTTCAAACAAACGTGAACATGGTTAAGTTATTCACTTTCACAAAACTTCACCATTAGAACATTCCACACTCTAAACCCTACCATCTGTCAGATGGACCGTCTAGCCGGTCTCGGATCTGATATTCCGAAGAGCCAGTAAAGGGAATATTGGCCCACTACACACGGGACAAACCGGTTTCACCTGAGCAGCCCTATTTAAACACTCCCAACACCCGACATGTCCACAAGGACTCGCAGTCACGTGACCTAGGACTATGTTCTCCCTACAAACTGAGCACTGAATATCTGTCCGGTCTTTTGTTGAACTAACCGGGCATAGTTCGAGTTCTGGGGGAGGGGCCTGGGACTTCTTAGTGTTCCTTTTGTAAAGCTCAATCAGAATATATAGCATGTCCGCCAATATGATCACGTAAAAAGGGTACAAAGAGGCCTGGTTTCTTGAGAGGATGATTTTTCAGACCAAGCGCAGATTGTGTGATGACGCTTCCACCGTGCATAACCAGGAGAGAAATAGGCAATCTCATTTGTTTGATTAAACCTACCCCACAGCCCGGGTACATTTTACCAATCATATCTAGGAGTTTATGTGTCCCGAAAACTTGGAGGAGGACATACAGTGTTTTAATGAGTAAGCCCGGGATTTTCCGGTCCCGATGGAGTACAAGCAAGTTCACTTCCTCTCCCAATGTCTGTAGACCTGAGCCGGATGTAAAGGTGAAGTAAAGAAGAGTGGATAACACTGACTCGACTACGGAGTCGCTTAGTTTAAATGGGAGAATTTTACCATAACTTTCGTGGAAATGAGAAGTGAAGTTGCGGATTAGACTGGTTAGTTTCGAAATCTCTTCATCATCTTTATCGCTTGAAGATAGGAGTGGTCCAACTAGGGTGCTGAAACTCATTTCACTAGAATATATAAGTATTACTGTAGCTGGTAAATTTAATAGGGGTGGGGGAATGGGGGATGTTTATTAAAGTTTCTTTAATAAACCCAGTAAAACTTAAATTCTATCTATTTAAGTGGGCGTTGGCGATTTTAAATATTGATAAATAGCTTGCATTTAATCCATTTAAAGAAATTTGCAACCAGAAATTATACTACCAATCGCTCAAATACTTTTAAGAGATATGAACTAGATAACTTTAATATCAATATTTTTGGGTGCAGCCATAACGCAAATATAGATATACTAGTACAACCCGGCCCTCGGACGGACGGACTGACATTATTGTTATCTCCAAAAGGCCTACGATGTTCTTCCCCGAAATGTCAAGTAACATTTTTATAAAAGTCTAATGTTCTGCCAGATTAAATGTCGTCTCCCGGGACCAAATAATGAAATTATGGCGTATCAATAAGTTTTGGTGACATTTCATCGCAAATAATTGTTGACCGAAAATAAAACTCCGCACACAAACGTTTCAAATAGGTTTATTGGTAATTTTAAAACAGATAGTCAACAAATTTGTCAAAGAACGAGCCGCTTCTTGTAATTTCTATTCTACTCTATTCTACTCTATTCTACTCTATTCTATTCTATTATACTCTATTCTATTCTACTCTAATACTATTTACTAAATTATAAAGGATCTTACACGCCAAAAAGGATGAAAAAAACTTTGATTTCCTAATGGTGTAATCTGTATTCTGTACATTTACTGCACTTCGCTGTATCTCTACGTCTAGGAATTTAGCAATAAATGAAAAACCATGAAAAACAGCTAACAAAACAGTTTGGGGAAGGGGAGAGGTACAGTGAATCGGGGTTTACGATGAAAATTGGCAAACAAATTGATTACAAACGATCACTGAGGTCTTTATTCGGTTGCCAGGATGATTAGAGAAGTTTAACCTTGGTTCATGCCTGGGGTCGTGACCTTATTTTGGTTTTGCATATTTTAATAGCTTCTTAAGTCCTACACATCAAAAGGTCGATTTTAAATTATAATAGATGGGCTAAATGCTTTCGCTCCTCCGGGATAGGTCGGCAGCCTTAAATTAATGGAAAATATAAAGAATACAAATTTGAGGAACACAAATTTGAATTTTGATCTTTATTACACAGATTATACATATAATAGTAGATAACCATAAAAGCCGCGCGTCGGCTGATTGCCTCAATTTGGATAAATGATAATTCTCAATGGCAGCTCAAAAGGCCCATTGCAGTGGCGTAACGAAGGGCCCCGCTGGGGGGGGGGGGGGGGGCACCGTGTTAGGGGGGCGCCAAATGGTCGTTTGAATGTGGGACAATTTCGAAAACTTAACTAAAGTACTAGCAAAACTGCGCGTTTTGCTCTAGATACACACTTTTTTAGAGATTTTACCGGCGTATCCTCTAAAATCATCAATTTGTTCAATTTTAGGGAGGGGCAGCAAAAGGGGAGGGGGCGCCAACAGGGGGGAGCTTATTCGGCGGGGGCGCCAACAGGCAACGTTACGCCACTGGCCCATTGCACTGTCGATTGGCACAGTGGTCCTAGTGAGCCGCACCCTACCGCTAAACGGCACATGATGAATTGTGTTTTAATGCTTATTAATTTAAACGATTATTCAGTTGATGGTTACAAATTAAAAGTCATATTTCCTTTCCTTTTATTAATCAAGGCTCGAGCATTCAGTCATAATACAGTGTTGAAGCAACCAGCTTCCGCAGTTCAATAATTGGAGACTAAATAAATGTAAATTATTATACCGGATAGCCTATGGATTAGTTCAGTTCAGTAGTCATGAGCCATGGCCTATACTAGGTACTGGTTACATAAACATTTTCCTTTTATAAAACTAGAGCATGTGCACAATGCCATATAATTAATATTGCGTCGTGCGCTGCAAAGGACTGGCCAGTTAATTAATTTAGACAGCAAAATATTTTCGCGCGCTACGTAAATAATCATGAATCAAGGTCCAACAATTGTTTGCAGACAGAGCAGTTGCGCGAGTTCGGTGTTCTACCTAGGAGTTCTGACGAAATAATATAACTCGTAAGGCCACAAGATAAAAGCGGCTGGACATGGCCTTGCTATCATAATAACAAATTGAGCAGCTATCGGCATACCTGGTCATCACAGCTAGACGAATCCTCATGATAGTTAACCATTGCACATATCTGAGATGATATTAAGATTGTACACAATATAATCTTGAGCTGAGTAATCAGCATTGGTTCGAACAAAGCAGGCATTGATTCGATGAATTGAATTGAATTTTCATTGTTAAGGTTATGTTGCTATTTTTGTATCTCTATTGAATTTCAAGATAAGAACTCGCTGGACTTCGTTAGCAACTCAATAAGACAATCATAACTGGTTACTGTAAAATATCAGACAAATTTAGAAAATAAAGTTAAGTTACAATGTAATCAACTAAAACTCTGCATGAAAAAGATATCACGTTTAACGGTAAAACTCTTCCACATTTGAGAGACAAACAGGGGTCAGTGATGGAACCAACCAAGAACAGTGTTAAAATAAGGGCAGTTTTAAGATCTGGGCAGAAATTTGTAAAACAGGTATAAATGATAGGGAGAGCGATTCAAGGAAGCCGCATGTCATAGGCCAGATTGTTTGATTATGATTTTGTCTGCCAAAGTGTTAACTCAAACCTCATGGAACCACCACTTATATCCTAACCACTTAAATTACGTGTTATCAGATTAAGTTGACCACTGAGATTTATCGTTTTATTTATATTTTAGTTGTCATTTGGGGGGGGGGGGGGGAGATGAGGGGTTGGAACCCCGCCCCCCCCCCTCATTTGGAGTACTTACTCAGGGGTAAACTTTAAAAGACAACACTTTAACAGCAAACTCACCTTTGCCATCTTTTATTTAACTAAAAACAGTTGAAGTTTGCTGCCAAAGAATACCAGCAACATGGTCATTGACATAAAACAGAAAATCCTGCTTGTGGCTTGTAAATGTAATGTATGAAGCGGTAGAGTCAAACCCACGAATGCTTACTGAAATTCATCAAATGTTGCAAAAGTGACGATACAAAATTATAAATATGGTCGCACAAATCCCAACTCACTTATGTTAGTAAATATCTCAAGTAACTACATTAAAAGTGAGGCGTTGAAAAGGCCTAAGTATAGTTGGTCGTACAAGGGTTGGGTTTACACCTAGAAAATAGTTCACAATAGCAAAAGAAGTCTTGCATTGTATTTTAAGACAGTGCAGAAAATTATTTTATTGAGAATAAAAAATTCACGCCACGATCCTCCACAATGCAATGGAATTCCACCTTCAACTTAGTACCATATTGTGCACTGTCTCTCAAGTAAACTAACCAGAGTTAAATAAAAACTTTACAATGGTGCTTGATAATGGTAATGGTGATTTAGGGACCGTTCACATATTACGTCATTTCTTGGCCATTTTCAGACCCCCTACCATCTCCAAGTTAAGATTGCTATTATTCATAGTTACTGTGTAGAAATACCTCCCTAGTGACTAGTCCCTTTTAGTGACTTCGCACGTAATATGTGAACACTCACTTACGGTTAACAATTCCTCGTGGTATGATTTGAATTGTTGGATGAAAGAAATTGATATTCTGCTGAGTCAATAACGGCCTATTTCACTGAAGAAATCGATGACGCTCATGCCAGGACGTAACCAGGGGGTCAGCAAGGGGATTCAAGAGTGAATCAGTTTAATAAAAAGAAAAGATTGGTAAATTTTCACTCAACAATCTTTTGCTCCTGTTAATTGTTGAGTGCTCCCAACAGGCTGCTGCCCTGGCTACACTCTGGCTAAAAGTTGAGCAGGAAAATAACAGTTTAAATTCATATAATTCACTCATTTAACAGAGAGTTGGTAGCCTAATTACCGTGATTGTATTTTGTATCTTTAACACCAATTGTTTCAACTGTTGATACAAATAATTTAATTTTAATAGATACTGCAGAGATCTTGCAAGATTCTCACACTCATTGAATGAGTTGATTGTTTATTTTAGACCTCTTCAATTGGTCATTTAATTTCTCTTAAAAGATCTATCAACATGCCCTAGACCTAAGATGAATCTACCCTATAATTTTCACAAATAATCTGTAATAATTGCATTATATCATATTTCAGATATCCTGGTTGAATTGTGCCGAATCTTCTTCATTGACAGGCTTCAGATCATGTTACGGTGCGTGTAGCCTTAACCTAGTTATCAGGATCGGTATACAATAATTATCAAAAAGCTCTCAGATGGTACCATAAAATCGTTAAAATAGCTAAAAGCCAGTGTCACATGAGGCCGATTCGTTTATTATAGTCTGATAAATTGATACGCCTCCGACCTGGTGCTGAACTGTCTGGGGAGGGTGATATAGCTGGAGCTGCGTCCACAGGCCCGATATCTATATCAATATCACAGCCGTTGTGAAGTTCAAAAGGATCTACAACCTTACTTTCCTTGGCAAGTTCAGCTTTTTTAGTCTCTGCATCTGTAACTGACTTCTTAGCTGAATCATGCTTGTCACGTTCTTCAGCAAGTTTCTTCAGAATATCTGAATGTTTAGATGCATCCTCTGTAGCTTGATAATTTGGTGTAACAACAGAGGGAACAGTTTTACGACGTTGAAATGGATTGGGAACAGCTGATTTCTCCTCCTGATATTCATTCTTTAAAGCTTCCTCAATCTGTTCAGTTGTTCGCAGCCTGTTTTTGTCGTTAATGTAACTGATAGCAGTCAAACTTTTATTCCTCTGTTTGCTAAGCTTATCTGCATCCACTTCAATATCTTCCAGGTCTGCTTTGAGTTTTTCCACCTCAGCATAATCTCCAAGAGTTTCTGCTAACTGTTTCTGAGTGAGGATATCACTCTTTTTAGCAGCATAGTTCCGAGGATTCTTACGGAATTTTTGCTTTTCCTTAACAATATACTCTATCTCTGCTTCAGTAAATTCATGGTTCATTGCCTTTTGAATCGCCTTATGCTTGGTATCAACAAACTTAATTGGGGGGAGTTTTAAATTATTTTGGTTTAATGTTGTTTGCCACTTCAAAAACTCTGAATCAGTAAAATCCTGGTTTGAAACAAATTCAAGACGATACATGTTTTCTGCCAAACCATGCCTAACTTTGAGCCCTTTGTTCGTTTTGACATTACCAAGAGAGTAAACTTTGGGAGTTGTAACAACATCATATATTTCAGCAACCCTGTAAACTTTTTTTCCCATTTTGTCACCGATACCAATTCTGATAAAACAGCCACAAACAGTGTCCTTGAAGAAAGGCAGATGAACCCACTTTTCTAATTTAAATCTCGATAGTCTGATTTTAGAAAGCTGCTCTTTCGATGAAATGTAGCGAACAACCTCAGGAGTTGATTCTCTGTCACTGTCTTCCCCTGACTCAGCAGAACTTGCTGATGATGATAAGGACTTGTCATCGTCATCATCATCATCAGTGTAGACATCTTTTGTTTTGAGTAATGGTTTAGGTTCTGGGCTCCTGGATCTTCTTTCAGATGATTTCAATCTAGCTTTGTGAGCCTCTCGCTTTGCTCTCAGTTCATCAATAGCTTTTCCTTTTCCTTTGTCATCTAGCGGAGTCTTTCTCATGCGCTGAGCTCTAACTGCTGCTTTAGTTTCTTGCTCACTTTTCTTTCTGTCTACTTCTAGTTTTGCTGCCTCCTCTTTCTTTTTCTGAAGCTTCAATTTACGTTGAATTTCCTGCCTTGTCTTCATACTTTCCCTCTTTTCCATTCGCTCAAAGAGAACTCTCTCCCTCTCAGCCTCTGTCATATTCATAAGTTTATTCCGATCCTCTGAATCTCCCACACAGTTTTCATCTAATCCATCATTGAAAGTAGCATCATCTGAGTCCTCGCTGAGTGATTCATTCTCACTCTCAGTCAGTTCCCCCTCATCTGAAGCAGATTCCATAGAGCCTGCACTGTTAGTGGCTTTCTTTTCATCTTTCTTACCAATCTTCTTAGGCTGGGCTTTACGACCCTCTGTATTTAGAGTCCATTCCTCTTCCTCGCTCGATTCTGAAAGGCTGTCGGAAGAATCCTTATTTTTTGAACTTTTTCCAGGCTTTTCATCATCACTATTGTCACTATCAGTGACAAACTTCCTTCTTTTTCTGGTCATAGTACTTTCACCTAAAGAATAATATGAATCAAAAATTTAAGTAAAAATTGAATAATACAATTTTTCAACACAAATGAATAGATAGATTTGCAATAAAGACTGTCTTGGCCATGTCAAATGTGTATGGATACTGGCGCAGCAGCCATGGAGAGGTGAACCATATTTGTTTAGCCATGTGACAATGATTTTGGGTATTGCTTGGTTACCACTGAATTGCTGCAAATGATTGGTTACTCACTGTGTTGTGTCAGGCAAAATATGGTTTGCCTCCCGCCAGTATCCAAATCTAAGACTATATAATAAATGTTTAATCAAATACACAATCTATCTATAATAAACTCTCACAAGAACCATTCAAGCGCCTGAAAAATGTCTGTGATCTGTAAAATTTATTATAACCAAATTTATTTCATTACATAATTAACTGGCCATCAAAAGACAAGGTTAAAAAGATCTTCAAAGTTATAACATTATGTTCTGAAAGTTTCAGGGTGATCGTTCAAAAAATCATTGAAACAATAAGTTTTTGTCCCTAAAAGTGATTGCTGCACCACTATCCACCAATGCCCAATAGCTGAAGCTTAGCTACCAATATTTCTTCCTACGACTTGTCCTTCCATGGATCTTTCAGGACTAAAGAGAACCATTTCAACCTCTCGGTGTCAAGCAAAATAGCAATGTGCACTCTCAGGAAAACATCTGCACTTTGTCCTTTGAAATTGAAGTCTGGAAAATTTTGTTTCTGTACTCTGGCTCTTGAGTTTTTAATCCCAAATCGCCAACATATCAAGGAAAGACCATGCCACAGCTCTACACTCTGCACGAGAATGAGAGAAAGAACCAGTACATGAACCGAGTGCTACAATTGGAGAAGGGTCATTCGTCCCCTTTTATTTACCACTACAGGAGGAATAGCACCTGAGGCCAAGCGTTTCATAAGGAGACTTGCTGTGTTGATAGTCACCAAGACCAAGGAGGACTATATCCAGGTGATGTGTAACATCAGGACACTCCTGAGCATGGTGATTTACGATTGTGCTCTGCCAATTGCATCACTTGATTCGATTTATTGTATATATACTGTTTGATATGTACCTCTCTATTTAATGTGGTTGAAAGACCCTGTTTATTAGGCACAGAACTGACCCTCTAAAAGATATATTTCATCATACTTTTAACGGCACCAAAAAAAAGAATATTCCATACCAAAGTTATCGCAGGCTGAATGTGAGTACTAGTCATTTATGTGTATTGAATGAGCAATTTGCATTTGCCATCGCATTTACAGGAGATGATGCTGATCCATGACAGGTACCAAAAGGAGCGGGGGGAGGGGGGGGGGGGGGTTGAGGGTGAACTTATGTTCTCATTTAACAGTCTTGCTTTATTATTAACTGGAGTCCTACCCCAAACAATAAATTAATATCATAAGCAGTGGCGTAACGGAGGGCCCCGCTGACCCCGCTGTGCGGGGGAGCGCCGTGTTAGGGGGGTGCCATATCGTCGTTTGAATGTGGGACAATTTCGAAAACTTAACTAAAGTACTAGCAAAACTGCGCGTTTTGCTCTAGATACACACTTTTTTAGAGATTTTACCGGCGTATTCTCTAAAATCACCCAATTTGTTCAATTTTAGGGAGGGGCACCAAAAGGGGAGTGGGCGCCAACAGGGGGGCGCTTTTTCGGAGGGGGGGGGGGGGGGGCGCCAACAGGCAACGTTACGCCACTGATCATAAGTACTAACGTAGTATAAAACAATTTAAAGTGAAACTGGTCATTCAAACAATATATACATTCAATTAAGTCATGTGATGCAATTGGCAGAGCACAATTGCACATGCTATACACAGATAATGGAAATTACCCATTGCTACCAATATATATTTTTTTTAATTATTTGAAAATTCAATTAATTATCATATATTATATAAATCAAGCGTTACATTTCAGCCATGCAAAATTACAATGACATATTTTGATATACTAAATGATAAATGGTACTGCAATATAAGTTGCTTAATGTTTGGCCGGATGACAACTAACTAAAAGAGAAAAATAAACTTGATTACATAATAATTAATTCGGCTGAACCAACACATAGCAAGAGCCACATTAACGTTGGGGCCGTCTACCAAATTTGAATGACATACAATAACAAGAAATCAAACATATCATAAATAATTATATGGATTTTGTTCATTACAATTCCGTCACAACTGATAGAAGAAAAAAGGGGATGACAGGCGGATAGGAAATTGGACGGACAGAATTGTAACCAACAAAAACACATTTCTGAGACTCATAAGACTGATGAGCTAGTCTGGCCAGACTGTATCGGCAGCCCAGAGGTGATTGATTAGTTTGGCCTTAAAAGTAGAAATCCGCTCTGAATAAAATCTATTACATTTATTGAGGACCCCTAGTGGGACATCACACCTCAATAGAATGTAACAACAATTGCAGATTGTTGTATGTTGCATGACTAAAGTTTGGCAGAATACACAATAGTTTTCTTGTTCCTCACTCACTCATCTCAGCAACCACCCCAACTCATACCTAAACGGTGAGTTTCACAGCTGAGATTAAGAGTCATTGTCATTCATCTAAACTCAGAAAAGCTCTTTTGTCAGCACTGCTGGCAATCCCTATCACACTTTTCTTGTGCCCATATCCTTTCAGGTGTTGGGAAATCGATCTCTAAACGAAGCGCAAAGCAAAGGCTGCAAAGACAATCAGACTACGTCCAAAGAGAACAAAATAGCTACTTTCTACTACTTGGTACTGTAAACTGTAAACTGTTAATCAATTCGGAAACATTTGGAATTGAGTTTGAAAACGAACAGTGTATAGACATTAATATTCTACTCAAATGAACAACAGGAAAACCAGTTATTTGTTTGCTGTATTTTGGACATTAACAAGGACAATCACTTAGCAAAACTAGTTATAGTAAAGTTTAGCCAAGTGTTGCCTGTTTCAAGAGCTCGTTTTTAAAGCTCTTTCTGGAAAGTTAAGCCAGTTCAATAAAGCTTAACACCCCATTACTCTGACTAGACATTAATCAAGTCAGATATCATAGAATTGTGACAGTTAAAGCTAGTTTTACAAAAGCTCTGAGCTGTAACAATTCTACTTGGTTTGGTTTCTTGTGACGGCACACAAAGATGTCTATTAAACTGAAACCTAACAAACCAAAGGTTGTGTCAATTGCAACAGTTGACACTGCAAAAAACAACCAACTCGAAAGTTTGTATTGTAATCTATTAGAGACTACAGACTCAGTTGTTGTGTCAGCCTCAAACAAAAAGATGCTCACAAACTGTATAAAAACAAGTCACATATACAAACAGTTTCAACTATTGAGTCCAAGTTTAGAAGTTTTATTTTGCTTTGATGGGCAATCAAACTTTCTTTGCTCCTTTGTTGAACTTTCAGATACTGCTCACCAAATTTCCCTGCCTAAAGTTATTGTTCTTGCATACTCTGGCAAAACATTGAGCTTTGAAGACAAAAAGAAAGTGCTATACCAGATGCACATAGGAGAAAAACTACACGATGTAGCAGATGTCCCATGGTGGGCCTTAACACTCCCACAGATGATTGCAGTTGCTCAAGAACGACTTGAAAACATCGTTGAAACAAAAGTAAGAGCACTTTCTTACCCCTACACCTGGCTGGCAACCAAACTCAAGTCTGGTATAGAATTCAAACAGCAGTTTGGAGCAACTAGTAACTTTGACTATGCACTCTTTGCATTTTCTATGAAAACTCCCTTGGATTGTTCCTGGTCCTGTATCAAGTTTGCCGAGAACAAAGAGTATGTCTCTCAAGTCAAGACTCTATTCACAAAGATGCAATCACCACCTCATACCCTTTTAAAGCCACATCTCAAAATATCCTTACATAACTCTGCAAATCAAAAATCAGGACCCAATAACAAAGTGGGAAATCAGCAACTCATAACGGAAAGTCCTACATCTGTGAGCACACTGAGCACATGCACATTTCAGATCGATCTTGAATCAGACTTTTCGCTTGTCCCGTCCATATTAAAGAAAGACTCGCATGTTATCCAAGAGGACTCTGGGATGATATGCTGCCATTGCCAGAATGAATGCAAACAGGAGTTGCTCACATGCGGATACTGTGAACTGAAAGTACATTACAAATGTTATGATTCACAAACAACAACAACAACAACAACAAAAAGATCTGGTGAAACTAGAAAGAAGCCAATGGCAGACTCCACATATAGAAATATATGCAAAATTGAGAATTTGCATTGGCTTTGTAATTCGTGTGACTCTCCAAGCCTACTAAACCATATTCTGGATCTAGCCACCGTAAAAGTTAAAGCTAAAATCGCAGAGTTGACCAAAAAGGATGGGGAGTACACAACTGTAATGAGAAAAGATGTGGACACGCAAACAACAATTCACCCCTATAAACAGCTGTCTGATAGCGCCTCCATAGATGACTCGGCCCCAACTGAACACATCTCAGATCTGTCAGCTTCAGATACATATGATAACCTCTCTATCTTGTGCAGCAAATCTGACAGAATTTTCAGCAGCAGTCTGTCCTTGAGATCCATTGAGTCCAATACACATCTAGAAGGCTCTATAATCAAAACACCAGACCTCAATCCTCCAGGTCAGCAAAAAATTTGTTGTCCAATCCGAACCTCAACACCTGAAAGGAGAGATGGGGGAAAAAAGAAAAATATTCAGGAAGACTCACAAGATAGGCTAGTTTGTAATAAAGATATGGTTGACCCATTGACATTGTACTCAAATATCAGTAGTTCAGAACAAAATGTCGACATCAACAGAACTCTGAGTGACCAAGTTGATGTATTAGCATCGCAACACTCTGCAATTTGCTCTATCGAAAGATCTATGTCACAAATGAAGGCTGAAATGAAAGACTTACGAGAGAGTGAAACGAAACACTTTGAATATCTAAAGACGAATTTAACGGAGAGATAAATCTTTGTGGTCAGGGTCGATCATCGTACAAGGGAAACTCTCATTTGTGTATTAAAAACCCCTC